ATGAATTTTACCGTAATTATGCTACTCAATATTTTTGACATCATTAATCAATGGAAGGCTCAGCATTCACAATATATGTTTTGTTGACAATGGTTGCACGGAAATGTATTTGCTTTAACATAGAACCTAAATCAAACAGATGAGCAAATTAAATAGTAACATGCACACAACTAGGTGTAATTAACTCTTCCTTAATTTAATGGGATATTTTTGATTGAAAACGGATCAAACAGGAATTCCAATATCAATAATTCGATTTAGTATGTGAGTATCGTCAAAGCAATAGTGACGAAAATTATTTTAAATATTCGTTTGACCGATTCTTAGAAGTTTAATAATGAAGCCCAAAATATTCTTAATTTTCTTCTGCCTTTGTACTGGGCTGGCAATTGCGACGCTTAATAATTTTCGAATTGAGCAGGCTGAGTCGGACGAGAGTGTCATTTTGGGTGAAATCATTTCCAATTATCTCATAAAATACTTAAGCGAAGACCAAATCTTCGTTTCAATCATTTTCACTCCGTCCGAAAGAGATCAAACGAATTTTGAAAATGATTTCTTTGTAAATTTGTTTGACGATCCAGCCCTAACCGAATTCGATCACAATGTTTTTAATAAACTGAATGATATAATAGGCGATAATCGGAATGCATTTAATATTATTTTAGTCGATGGCAGTAAAAGACTTTCGTAAGTAGTTTATTCAGTCAAGTTGGATATTTTCTGAAAAACAGTACTTCATAATCGATTGAGTTGGTTTTTTTTTAATTTTTCAATAAAATGTGTTTTATCTTATTCCAAAATAGGGACATTTTGAACGAGAATACCATCCATGTGAACCACTTGTCTCAAAGATTCATTATTGTGGTTACTGTTGAGGTTGTGCAGAATAATACAAATTCTTTGAATGATATTTTCGAAATACTATGGAGAAACAGCTTGATCAATTCACATGTTCTGATCCAAGATCAACCACAATTTTGGACACTCTACACGTTCATGCCGTATCAGAAGGACTGCTTCAATTTGGCACAAATCAAAATCGAATCTTTCACGCCATTGAATTATACCGAAAATATAACCATATCGGCGGATCAACTTTTTCCAAAGAAACTCACGAATTTCCATCAATGCCCACTGAATATAGCAATTTCATTGGTTGATCCATTTGTCACTCTTCACAATACTTCCGATGTAAACACACAATACGGTGGAGTTGATATCAACATTGTGAAGCTAATTTCGAAATTGTTGAATTTCGTTGCGGTTTTTACGAAATCATCAGATAGAACTGGTCATGGAATCATTTTTCCCAACAAAACCGTGACCGGAAATCTGGAATTGGTGCGGATTTCCCATATTTATTTTCTCTTTATTTCTGTATTTGATTCAACCTCCATTCATCTGGTTCTATGTGTTTATTCCAAGGTTTACAATGGCAGTGCAGAATTTGCAATCGGCGGATACATTTTATCAAAAGAGCGAGCCGAATTATTTACACCTACTAATCCGTATCTACAAGCTTCAATTGGGTTTTGCTTCAGAGAAACCGGAGCATATTCACCGTTCACAAGGCTTATGGCTCCGTTATCACAACAATCATGGATCGCAATCTGTTCAATTTTAATTGCTTCTATCATGGTGATATTGCTAACTAAGCGACTAAGTAAGAAATGGCGACATTTTTTTATTGGCGGTCGAACGAATCGCACTCCGATCTTAAACATGTGGAATTCGGTGTTGGGTATGGCCATTGCAAATCGACGAATCGCACGTGGACGTAACTTTGGTAACTTTGCTCGAACTTTGACCATACTTTGGATTTTCTTATGGCTTATCATTCGAAATGCCTACCAATCAGCTCTTTACACATATTTACAAAGTCATCCACTTACATCACCTTATGACACCGTCGATAAGATTCGTGGATCTGATTGCAAGGTAATAACAACAGTATCTACATATCATGTAATCAAAGACATCATTGATCGAGATCGGTAAGTTGTTGAAAAAATGAAATTCGTAATTACACTGGTTCACAGGGCGGGACAAGTCCGGTTTACCTCATTCCTCAATTTGTTTTTTTACAATTATACTTCTCAATTTTTGCCCATCTTTATCTTCTCGCAGCATAATAATGACGTATTCCGATTTGAGTCGAACTATTCAGTTTTTGTATGATCAAGATAGCAAAGACACAGTTGCACTCGCAACGGACCTGAATAAAAAGTCGTTTAACTTGAAGAACTCGCCTCATCGACGTGTGGAATTCACTAAAGATAGAATTTACATGTACTCACCGGTGTTTTTCTTTCGTAAAAAGTCTATGTTGACTCGTGTAATTAATCGTCAGTTACAATTACTTCAAGAGGCTGGCCTGATCAATGTTTGGGTCGGAAATCGCATCGATGATCGTAAAACAAACTCCAAGTGCAGGGAACCATCAAAACTTCGAATGGAACATATCATCGCCGCTTTTCAAATCTGTGCCATCATGTACTTCGTCAGCTTTATTATTTTCATTTTGGAGATTATTAGTGTGAGATGCCGACGCATACAAGTAGTTCTCGATTATATGACTTATTGATTTGTTCGCCAAACAATGTTCGGCAGAGTTTACTTTCAGCGGAATTCATCAGCATTAAATAAGTTCATGTGATGGATTTATCAGGTAAATCTCACGCTTCGCTGTATAAACTCAACGCGTTCAGAACATACTCAACGCACGTTTGAACAAGCAACGCCAGTGCGTATTAACACAAATGACATTTCATTTACAAGCACCGTTTCGAACATAGAAATATGTTTACCCAGATGTTTTATACTGTATAAATATGCAAAGCATAGACGCGTACGGACGACTGTGCGACGAACGTATCAACAGAGCCATCGTTGTTTGTTATGTACTGTATTCATACACACACTTACGAAACGCACGATCTCCCGTTGATACGTTCGTCGCGCGGTCGTCCGCACGCGTCTATGCTTTGCATATTTATCTTGCATATTTCTATGTCCGAACCGGTGCTTGTTCATTTATGTATGATTCTCTGATAAAAAATATTTATTGGAATAGTTCTCGAAAATTAAATTTAAAATTTATTTCCAATGAAAATTCCAGCTATTAGCTTCATCACATTTCGTTTTTTTTCTCTTTGTTTACTCATTTCGACAACGCCCGAACACGACGCACACAATCAGTTACGACGCTCACAAGTCATTGCTGTGTTTATGCATATGAGTTAAAAGAGAAAATCGTTGCAACGATTTCGGTTGGCGTTCGAGCGGCAAATCGTTTCAATGATATTGAGTGTACTGTGCATTTCCATAGAATGCTCGTGGCAATGGCCGTTGAGCATTGGATTTGTACAAGGGACACCGTTTTTCTGAGCCGAATAATTTCCAACTACATCAGAAAATATTTGAGCAACGAAATTTTTTTCATTTCAATGATTCATGCTTCATCACAAAAAAATCTGCTCCGTTTTCAAGGTGAGCCCATTAAGAATTTATTTTATTTGCCACGCTAATGCACATTTACGTATAGTATCGTTTTGACGTTTGGTGTTGCCCATCGCGAGAAAATGAGTGTGTCCCAGATTACCCCCTGTCCCACTTTATCCCCTCTTCCCCTATATCATATCGGGAATGCATTGGATTATCGGCGTCGTCCGCGAAGGCATGCACTTAACGTCATTCTTATTGACGGCAAAAATTCATTGAGGCAAGCATTTTTAAAATTTATACTTTACCAAGGAGGATTTATCTCTCGCGAATGCATTCGCGTTTGAGAACAAAACATCGAATACTTACGAATGCGATCGAATGCGCGTACCAATGTATGATGAACTGACAGTTGAACTGACAGCTCACACCGGCATTCGTGTCAATTGATGTATTTGCAATGCTGCCATATAAAATATATGTAAACATTCGCGCCGCATTCGTTTCGCATTCGCATAATGTTAAAAAACATAAAAGTTGATAAACACACTCGATAGTATTAGAAATGAATAAATAACTTTTGTTACGAATAACATTCTGATGCAGATTTATGGCTGAAAATATGAAATGTTACAGGATCGGCGATCTTCTTACTGAATAAATGCTAGCATACTGATTGAAAGTCTTATAAATGAATTTGTTTACTTTTTCCTACCGCCGTTTGCTTTATTCCGGGAATTCTCATTGAATAAAACTCTCTCCGTTCTTCTCAAACAGTTTCATGATTTAGTATATATTTTCTATATACTTTAAAAATGACTAATAAAAATTCATGTTTAAAATATTCTACGAGGGTCACTATTTATATTTCGGGTCTAACCAATTTTTAGTGTTGCCAGATGCAAACTGGAACTTCCATTGGAAAATTTGATATTTTTTAGGAATAAATACGTTGACAGATCGAAAAAAAGTTTGCCCCTTTGGTTACACCAGCCCTTCAAAGTGAGGTCCATTTGTATGGGAAATTTTAGGGATTTTTACTCATTGCCATTGTGAAGACAATAAGTATGGTCGGATCCCAGTAATTATGTGTTTGTTAGTGGAAATCAATAAGCAACACAATGGCATTTCACGTTGTCCTCAGAAGGTGCTCAGTATGGCTAACTCCTCAACACTTTTTTTGTATGAAAATGGGGTAGGACCTCATTTTGAAGGGCTGGTGTAACCAAAGGGGGGCAAACTTTTTTTTGATCTGTCAACGTATTTATTCCTAAAAAATGTCAAATTTTCCAATGGAAGTTCCAGTTTGCAGCTGGCAACACTAGTATTACCAGGACCCGAAATATAAATAGTGACCTACGTAGTGCTGAATAACTGATGACGACCCAATGAACACATGTAATGCTAAATGTTTGAATTTTGTGCATATTTTAATGTAATGCTAAATGTAGCACTAAAAGTGCAAAAATTGTGTGATTTTTAGATAAAATTTTGTTTCTGGGCACAATATGTGTAGAAATTGTGCACGATTTGGGAAAAAAATTACTATGCACAATAATTGCACGTGTTTGGCTCATTGGGGAATGTTGTGCCTACGAGGAAGATATAAAAATGTTGATAGTTACATTTATGTTATGAACAAAGTAGAGTGAAACTGGATACTGGAGATTTTGCATTGACGTTTCCGACTATAAACATGACAACAATTCATATGCGTGTGCTGTCAAAGTCACTTTGTCATGCGTCATTCACATTAATGCTTTGACTGATTGTGGTGAACAGTGGTGAGATTGGAAACGCCATACATTTTATATACATTATTTGTTTGGGAATTATATTCATTTATTTTCTTTTATTGTTGATATTCGGGCTCTGCAAAGCCTAGGCTTCATCCACGATTTGTTTTTCAAAGAAATATTCCGAAAAATCGTGAGTTTGCACTATCAACACTTGTGTGGTTTTTCATATGATTTTGAAGTCATCGAATATTGCCACCTGTACAGTTTTCACTGATGGCAGCACTCAATTAGTTGTAACACGTTCAATTGACAGTTTACTGTGCGACATGGAGAAACAGCGGCAACACACGCTCGGACTCACCATATATGTTTGTCGTTGTCACACAGATTTACACTGATAGGGTTACATAGCATCGTTCAATTTTGCAACCGCATGTTTAGTCACAATGTAATTTCGGAACATTCGTTCCATAGCCGTCACTCGAATCACAAGCAAATTGTTCACGCGCATATAGTTTAGTTAGTAGCCATTTTGCATTTCATTAGAATAAAAAGTACAGTCACGCTGGCATCATTTTTCATAGTCATCTTTCGGAAACCAAGTCGTTCATAGTTTTTCCGTACATTTTATCAAGGAATATTAGCCGCACAACTCTCACTGATTATGCTGGGTGAAAGTACTTGATCGAGTTGCATTTGTTAAATATCACAGTTCGCCATACATTGTATCAAGGAATAATAGCCGCACAACTCTCACTGATTGTGTCGGGCGAAAGTACTTGATCGATTTGTCTGTGCGCATCATTGGACTGCATTTCCATACTGGTAAATACCCAATTCGAACGGAGATCTCAGCATACAAATTATTTGCATTAAATTACACGAAAAAGGAAGTCAAGTGTTGTTTTATTTTAAACTAAGCGGCCGAACATGGTCTCCGACACAAACACCACCCGTTCACACATTCAATGAACTTGCTACACCAAGTGATGGTTTAGTTCATTGCTGACGTTTTCCAATCCGCCATACGTTTTTATATGTGTGTGTACATCAAAATGTCAAAGTTGTCAAGAATGCAACCGTTCTCCTCATTCTTTTGCGAATGTACATTATTTCTATGGGTAAGATTGAGAGTGGAGTATGTTTTTTCTTCGATTTATATTTTTGAAAGAGGAGAGTATGTTTTCTGATGATTCTGTTGGCGTTAAAATAGAGTATATTGTAGTACCGTCTAGCCTCCACGGTTCTCACGGTTTCCGCGCAACTGATAAGCGATAACCAGACAATATATTGAGATAATTTCAGCTAGCTATCTGAACGCTTTGAAGCTGATTCAGCCGCTAAATTCTATGCGCTACGTTTTTTCAACGCATTTGCAGTACAAAAATGGATATCATTGTTTTTTGTGACATGATATCCATTTTTATTTGACATGATATCCATTTTTATTAAATCACCGTTCCAACTTGGAGTGATTAGTTCTCTTTCATATTTGCCGTTCCATTGTGATGTACATTTTTGTACTGCAAATGCGTTGAAAAAACGTAACGCATAGAATTTAGCGGCTGAATCAGCTTCAAAGCGTTCAGATAGCTAGCTGAAATTATCTCAATATATTGTCTGGCGATAACAACATGGTGTCTTCGACAAAGTTGTAGTACTAGAGGTCCTCTATAACTTAGCTGAGGACAGTTATCTTTTATCTTTTATCAGTTTCACCCAAATCGCGCAAATAAAAAAAGCAAAATTTATAGACAACGTTTTTTTTCTTTTCATTTTTCGCGCTTTTCGTCAAACTGATAGTAAATAAGAGATAACTGTCTTCAGCCGAGTTATAGAAGACCTCAAGTACTACAACTTTGCCCAAGAGCCCAAGTTATTATCTCTAAGCAGTCCCACGGAAACCGCAAAAAACCGTGACGACCCGCCAAAAATGAACATACTCGCCTTTAACCATTTTTAAGTCGAAAGAAACTTACTCTTCTCTTTCATCACAAAGTCAGTGAAACATACACTACTCTCAATCTCATCTATAGATTTGATGTTACAATTTCAGCAGAAAGCTATATAAACATATATAGACGTCACTAAGCCTATCGAGTCGTTAAAAAATTGCGAAAAAGCCATTGGAAAAAGCGGGAAAAATTGCAAACTGAGCAATAAATTTCATTAAGAAATACAGCCCTCAGGAGACTTGTGTGTTCAGTGCAGTGCGCACAACATCAAACCCATAAGCAATAACATGCGTAAATTTTTCTATGTAAAAACATTTTTTCTCATGGAAGTCGAATTCGAAATAGTGTAAAAATCGGCGGCTAAATCAATATAGGCTTTTTTGGAATTTCATTTGCATGAAGTTTTGCATCATCCGGAAAAATGTCCGAAGAATTGAAGAAAATAAAAAAAAATATATTCAAATATTGGCCCACAATGCAATCACACATATAGGCAGAAAAATGTTGATTGCCCGTCTCATACGCATTCATTTGATATTGTTTCATTTCTGGCATTTTACGGTTGTTATCGTTTTGTCGGGCGTATTTATGCTTTTGGTCGGTCCTCCGGCGTACATTTGACAACATAACTGCACTGTTCGGTGCTTGCTCGCCGAAATAAATCGTTGTGTCTCCTCGTTTATTATATGGGGCTTAAATGGAAATGGCATTGTAATTTCTTGCTCCGCTGATTCAGAGATGAATTGTCACATGGAGCACATCACTTGTTCATTTTGGCGTTTTTTTCTCTCTATCTTCCATACTTATGAAACTCTCGTCACATCGAACTGCTTTTTTGTTGTCGTGATTAATTTTGCATTTTATTCAGGAATATGTGTGTAAAACTTTGAACATTTACATTTGCCACGTTTAATTCTTTATTTGGTTTAGTACTTTTTATCTGCACTCAGAACATTTTACGCAGATTATAAAGTTGTTTTTATTTTTTTTGGTTTTTTTGGGGTTTTTTTCGGGACATTCCGATCAATGGAGATATGGAATTTGTATTACATAGCAATGGGATTTATCTCTTTGATTCGCAACGAAATTCAATGCGTGATTCAATCTAAAAACCCGTGAAAATGTTACACATTGAATCGCACACACATTTCGTGGTGCAACTCTCTCACTTTTTATACATAATTTTGCCCGAACTCTATTCAAAGAAAGCGTGTAACATTTTAATATTTCCTACGCTTTTGGCGGAATTTGACTATGCCCGAGAGTACAAGTTTTTCCACAGCGTTACAGAGCATTTAAATTTCAATCACATTTTAACCATTTTATTTCGTTTTCCAGCCAATCTATTCAAAATATAGTTCGTTATTGGCTTGCATAATGTTCAAAAGCATAGCCAACCAATCGTTGCGCTGTAAATGTGTGTGCCGTTGAAGCCGGGAGATTTTATTTACTTATAGTCAATTTTGGCGTTCGCATACGAGGAATAGAGAGAGATAGAGTGAGAAATGGAGAGGAAGAAAGAGAGAGAGAGAGCAAGAGAGAAATGAGTTGTACGCGAGCCGGAATGTTGATGTTAGCAGTGCATTCACGAGCAAATGCCAAGACACGAACTTACTCAATCGATAAAACAAATCAAATCGCACAGTCAGAGAATTCAAGCGCATAAAGTTGGTGCTGTGTGTCGACATACGTGTAGTTTAGCACTTCGTTATTCTTTCTCTCTCTTTCTCTCTCTTTCGGTCTACATGTTTTCCTTTCCCTCTCGCTACTTTTTTTCTGCCTCGTTGTTGCCGAATCCGAAACGGAAACAGAGCTACATCTTCATAGCGGAACAAATTCATTGTGTAGACAACACTTTTTTCTCGCTCTGCATTTGGTTTTAATGGCACATGCTCGTACACACACATGACGACTTCATATTTGCTTTCCGTTCGCTCTTTTTCTACTCGTATTTTTCTCTTCACATCGTGTTATATATTTTTATTCAAGGGAAATTGCTAATCTTATTCATAAAATTGTTAGAATGTTTATTTTTGTGATTCGTGTCGCCGAACGGAACCAAATCTTCGATTGCCAATTTTTTTCCCTCCCTTTAGTTTCATATCTGTCATGTGCAAATACTAGGCAGCAAATTCTATGTTGTCAAGCTGCAAACTAGTTCGTTATGATTGAGGCTCATTTTTTTCACCTTCGTTCGTTCGTTCGTTGCATACAAAATGGAAATTCGCAATTTTTTCTGCGTACAATCATTCCGTGAAATAAAAGTCGTCGAGATGTCATTTTGCATTTTGTTCAAATGGCTCTGATTGCAGCGAATGCACATCGGAAGAGCAATAAGCACATTTAAATTTCATAGAATTATGGAATCTTTTGCAGCGAATCATCGAACGCTTGCTTGAATGATGAATAATGAAATCTCTAAAATCGATATTGTTCGGAAATTCACTTCAATGCAATGTATAAAATGTATGAAGTATAATAATTGCGAAGATCTGGTAGTAAATTAATGGTTACAAGATTTACATTTTTGCATACTACCATTTCGATCAGACGATTGAGTTTGTAAGAGGATAATGCGATTGGAATTCACATAGTGTGTATACATTCCCATGAAATTACCATGTCACTTGAAACATTGATCGAATAACAAATGCATTTAGGAAGGAAGAATTACACAAAATACTTATTCAACCCATTTTCTACCAGACCGGTTTTCCATGCAAAATGCTTGATTTTTCGAACACTAGTTAGAAAATGGGTAGTGAATAACCACATAATATTCACATTCATTTGCTTTATTACATCATCGATTTTTTAGCATATCTTCTTTTGAGCATATTTAATTTAATCTTGGAAAGTTCGGGTAATTAAAAATAGCGCATAATAAATATAGCAACTGATTTGACTACCGAGAAAAATGATTAAAATTTGAATTCATTTGCATTGAAAGAAAATAATCGGTTCGGTTGACATGTTCCCCCTTTTTATAATATATCAATTTTATGTTTTATTATTATCAATTCCAGGGCATACAAGGAATTTGTAGCAGTTGTAAAGTTCACAGCCCGCATTTATACATATTTGTGCAGATTTTCGTTGTTGTTCATGTTATCACTAGCGGTGACGCACATCGTTCTCGAGAAACCGTTGTAAACATTTTACACTCCAGTGTAAATGCGCAAAAGATTGCTTTTTTGTTTGAATTTAATTTGAACGTAATACATTGAATACGTAAGATGATTTTAAATTTAATGATTACTTGATTATTTTGTACGTTTTTAACATACATCTCAACTCTTATGGACTTATCTTGGAGGATAAAAAAGTACGCTCAAGCTCTTTTATACATGCATAAAATTATACTATTGAATAAAGTGTTGCATTTTACGTTTAAAAAAAGGTATTCTTCTGTGATTTTTCTAGATTCTTCAATTAAAATTATTCAAAGATAATCCAATTGGGACCTTCAATTTGATGTTAAATTGAATTCTTCGTCTTTTTTTATTCTTAAATATGTTTTCTTTCTGGTGTAAATGTTTCTTTGGTACATTCCAAGAATTAAGATTGTTATAAATATAAACATAAAATTATGTTGCGTCAATATCCATGGCTTTATCTCATCCTGCTTATAACCGATACTAAAGGCTTCTGAAATTCCATTTTACTCATAAATAAATTTTCACCACTCTTATCACGTAATCAAATTTAAAGAAATGTACGTTACATTGTAAATTTTTTCACAATTTGTGTTCAACTTTGAAATGGTAAGCATGTGTTGTGCGTTTCGTTCGTTGCCACTTGTGGCCAGTCTCTGGTTAATTATTACATTTAGGTGCACATGTTTCGCTTCGATCGATGTGACTCCCAAGACATATGTATTACCGTGTAATTCGTCTGATTGGATCGATATCAGCGATGGAACAAAGTCTCAAAACAAAAGTGTTATGTTCAAAGGCACGGAATTCAGTGAAGACCAATATTTTGTCAATGATGACAATCATACTTTTGCTTGTCCCACACATGGAGAAACTGAAGTTAAATCCGAGGAACAACCTATCCATCCAAAGGAAATAATTTTGCCAAAGAGTAAGTATCAAAAAGTATTTGGCAATTGTGGGCTTGATTCATTTCAATTCAAGAAATATTTCATTGGGTAAAATTATGAAAAATCCGTTAAAATTTACGAAGCGCGAACACATTTAAAGCAAAAAGACAAAGACAAAGATAAAAATTAAATTTTTACTCAAAGTACAATAAGTCCTTGACGTTTAATGCACGACCACTTTTCAACGGACATTCTGTTGTTGATCACTCAACTTTCTGTTGTTGAACACACAATTCACATTGTTGAAACTGAAGCAAAGAAAAGAGTGCACCGAGTACAGTGCCGCTTTCACCTTAAGCTACCTTCCAATTGTCTCCGGGCTTACGGTTAGAAGATTTTACTTTAAGTGTGTGCGTAAATTTTTTGTCGAATTTATTTCTTACTTGTAGAATGAAGGGAATTAATGCAATAAATTATCTTATGAAGTGTCTCAATGTGCTCACCGTGATTTTTTCATTATTATTTTATTTTGAAAAGTTATTTCCGTTTTTTTAATTTTCTACTATAGCTATGATAATTTCGGTGATATTTTTGCTGGCCACAATTCTGGTGTATTCCTGCCTGCCTGAACTTTTGAATTTGCTGGGAAAATGTTTGTTATGCTATTTAGCGTGTTTGGCTGTGTCATTTGCATTCACCGCCTACATATATATGGATCGTGATACACCAGATACACCTTGTGTAGTCGTTGCATACATAATCTTTTTTTCGTGTCATTCATCCTTCATTTGGACAAACGTATTGGTAAATTTGTTAATTATTAAGTTTGAACGTGACTTATCTCTTATTCTTTTTATTTGTTTGTTTGAATAGAGTTTCGATTTGTGGTCAAGTTTTCGGTAATTGGTTTTCTTTTCATAATTATTCACTTTTTAATTTGGCAAATTAAAATACTCTCGATCGCTATTGCAGGGCAACCATGGGATCGAGAGCGATTTCTGACAAGAAACGATTCTATTTGTATATGCTTTACGTTTGGGGTTGGTCATCGCTCATATCAATAATTGCATATGTACTCGATTCGATTGAAAGTGTTCCAAAGGATTTTAAGCCTGGTTTTGGAACGGAGATTTGCTATTTGAGAAGTATGTCATTTGGGATTTAAATATGCTTTTAGTGGTATTTTTTGTTAATGAGAATTAACGAGGCAGTATTGTTTTCATTGCAGTGGACGTTCAAATATTATTTCGATTCTTCTATTTACCGCTTTGCATGATATTTGCAATAAACGCCACATTATTCACACTGAGCACAATGAAAATTATTCAAGTACAACGTGAACTTAAGAGATCGTTTTCCAAGGAAGAAGGCTTCCACCGTCAAAACAGTTCCATGGATAAAAAGAGCAGGTAAAACTTATTTGAAAAACTTTCCTTTGATTCTAATTTTTAAAAGATTCAATTGATTTTAAATATATTTCTTCGAAAATGCACTATTCCCTAGACATATGACTCCATCATCAAATTATTTTTGATAAATATTTCAACTTGTCTTTCGCTTTCAGTTACATGCTCTTCTTGCGACTAATGATTGTGTTTGGATTGACATGGTTCTTTGAAGGTATTTCATTTGTGACTCCCAATCACATGGCATTCTTGGCCTTCGATATTTTGAACTCTTTACAAGGATTTATAATTTTTTTGCTATTCGTCATGAAGGCTCGTGTGCGCCAATTAATCAAGAAAAAGTATGTTTTATTCATTTCACAAACAAAATGTGTTTTCGCTGACATCGCAAACATTTTTCCATTTGTTATGGCTTTTTTGTTGAAAAATATTCAAAGTGTTTCCTTTGTAAACAGGTGGCAAGTCTGGTCGGGTGCCATACAAGATCACGTCACCTCAAGTATTGTTTTTACAAGTGATTCCACCCCATCGAATGTAAACAATAACTATCGATTAGCTTACATCGCACAATCGAAATGCCCTTCCTGAGCCGTGAATTTGTAAAAAATGAGTTTTCAAACACATTTTACATTTTAATCCTAATTCACAATCAAAATGAGTGAGGAAAATTGGAAAAGAAAAAAAATCATCAAAGGAGTGAATTTATCATTCCAAAATTTCGAATACGAAAATAACATGGAAATTAGTTGATTAGCTCATGCAAATCAACCACATAACAAAAGAAGCAGAGCATTGAATCTCCTGGCTATGTGGCGCTGCTGTTGAACAGTGGATGTTGGTTATATTCCTGCACATGCGACAAACTGTAGCCCCAACTCCAATAGACATGAACATGTATGAGTTGTCGCATGCACAAGTACGTAACCAACAGCCGCTGTTGACAGCAACTGTTCAACAGCCGCGTTACATAGCCAACAGATTCAATGCCCCGCAATTTGAAAAAAAAACACATTGAGTTCAAATTCGCAGTTTCATGAATTAAATTAAGCAGAATGGATAATTAGAAAAAGCAAAGTCCGTTCAACTCATTTTGTACCAACTTTTGATTTTTCAAAAATGATGGATGGTTCTTCGGTAGGAAATGAGTTGAATATTGTACAATGTACATAGTAAATAAAATGTTGATAAATAAAAAAAAAATCAAATTTTCTTGACTTTTATTTAAATGAACATACAAAAATGGGATGTTGATGATTTTCTTTTTCTTCTCCTTTTTCAAAACAAAAAAATTGGCGATGATTCAATTCCATACATAATCCATACACTTTGCTTGCACTTAAAGTTTCCCAAAAAAATGGACACAAATGCGCAAATGTGTGAAAATTTCAATTGAATCGAAGTTAAAATGAAAACAACAAATAAATAAATGATGTGTTGGAAATGAAACATCATACATATGATACAATGACTAGTGACCGCTCTGTCTGAAATCATCGAGCATACAATCCCATTATAGAAGCCACAAAGAAGGTTTTCAATTGATTGTAAACCCTACAACCCGGGCAATCGTTGAACGAATAATGTTGTCCCTTCTCCACATTTTGACCGAGGCTTAAGCCTTGAATTCAATCGTTGGCCGAGCGTATACCGGATAACCGACATAATCGAAATGCGATTACGTTCATCAAATTAGATAGAGTAAATTGTTCATTATTTACTTAAGTTTGCATTGGAAATGGATTTAAATTCAGATTACGGTTTCGAATGGGTTTTTTCTCTCTCTCTCCCTCTCTCTTTTCATTGAATGGATGATGAACGATAAGATACATTTTGCCTGTACAAATCTAGTGGTTATGGGCTGACCAAATGGCTTGCACATTGAAATGAAATGTCAATCGAAAAGTTGCCGTGTGGTTGGCATCGAAATAAAAAAAAAACATGAACTTCGAATAGATCTATTTCATTTAGTTTTAAATTGATTTCAGTGGTTTGTATGATGCAAAAGTGAGGCAGAGCGAGAGTAAAAAAACCGAAACGGCCGTTTGAATTCAAACCGACATTGGTTTCAGCCCATTTCAAACAGAAGCAGAAGGAAAAATGGAAAGAGAAAACCAAATCCGGTCAATTTGAACTCCGAGAGCTGTACATGACTTGTCCCACATTCAGATTTTGTGACATAGAATAAAATTATTCTAATATCATCAAAACCGCAAAGAAAAATGGTTGGAAAAATAGAGGGAGAAAAAAGAGAGTGGTGTTGCATGATTCCAAACGATTCGTGGAGAATCTACAGTCGCCCAAACAGATGATACGTATCGTTGGTGCTGCATCACAGTTTGCAATTCAAATTTGTTGGATTTAAATATGTGAAATTTAGTGAAGCGTTTGCAATGCTCGAACCAACTAAAGCATCGTAAGTACTCGGACATAAATGAACTAAAATTGAACGAATCAAAAGACATGCTTTTTCAAGCATACAAGAACACGTTTTTTTATACATTGAAAAAATTCGAACAACATTTCAACAATTTTCAACAATTTAAGGTTGTCAAGTTTTCAAGATGTATTGACGTCACATGAAAAATAGAACGGCCACTCAATTCACTTATTTTATTAATTCTATTTTTTTGGATTAAAGGTTTTTGGTAGCTTCGTGCGAACGATTTAACTCGAAACGTTTCAATTAAAGTTGATGCTCTTTTAACGGCGAATGAGTTTTTCTTGAAGTAAATTGATCACATGCAAACGCTTCATTCAGAATTACATTGAAAAATAAGAATAAATCATTTGCATTGAGATTTTTAAAGCGAGTGTTTGGTGATCGTTCAAACTCAATAAAATGTGGTTAATTCGTCATTATCTACTGATTGTATTTGTGATGACTGTACTGACGTGGCCAATTGTCTGTTTTATTCGATTTCACCGCTATAAACGTCGAATTTTAACAATCACAAGGAACATGCCGTTAGTTGATGATTGCCCATTATTGGGTTGTGCTTTGAAATTTTTGGCAAAGAATAGTGAAGGTTTCTATCAGTCTGGACATTTAATTTAAAATCTCAAGATGAATTCATTTCCATTGGTAATGAGTCATTGCAGTAAAATTGAAATTGACCTTGATTTCGTCCACAGAATTGATGGACACAATGAAGCATTTTTATACCGAATGAAAAACACCGTTCGTCAGCTGGTTGGTAATATCTGATGTGTAAATTTGTTCCTCTTTGATTATTTTACCTTTAACGGTATCATTTATCGTAGGTTGGGCCCAAAGTGTTTTATAAGTATCGATCACCCGGAAGATATTCAAGTCGTGTATTGAAAAAGGCAAAATATATCGATTCTTCAATCGGGGCGTTGGTCTCTTTTCATCTCCAGGTACATTATTTTCTCGTTAAACTATTGAATTTGAAATTCAAGCCAAAGAATCACTTTAAACCGGAAACATGGTCTACTCCTAATATGACTTCTCTTAAATTTCATGGAATGAAAGCACACATGTGGAAGGCACAACGCAAACAGCTGTCAACGTCATTCAACAATCAAATTTGTCGGTCATTTTTGCCGATTTTCAATCAGAAAGCCAATGTTTTCGTTTGGAATGTGCGTCGAGTGGTCGGTAAAGGGCACTTTGATATGCTGGAGTACACTTCTGCATGGGCATTGGATGTTGTTTGTCGTAAGTTCTCCAAAAGAAATCGTGACCTAGAACTCTTTCTTTCATCGTTTCTTTTTATTCAGATACCGCAATTGGCTCGGAAATGAACATACAGAGTGGTGAAAATATGCACTATACGAAAGAACTCACGGAGTAAGTTGGAATAAAGAATGAAATCGTTTGAAGGGCGATGAATGATATATGACGTAATTTTCAAAATTTCACTCCACAGTTGGCTAACAGCAGTTACATATCGAATTGCAAACGTATTTTTGCACCCAGACACTATTTATCAACAAACGCGATGGTATCGACAAGAACAGAGTTTGACTTATCATATTTTTTTATGCCATAGCATATATCTGGCGGATAAGTCAAACTCTGGACAAGAATGTGCGGCGATTGCAATTTCCGAGGCCTTACAAGAGAATGTAAGTATTGTTTTTCCAATTTTTGACTGAAATTCCGTTTGAAATATGCTACAAATCTTTACTTCTAGATAATCTCGCAAAAGATGGATGAATTCATGCAAAGCAATAACGAAGATTTGAGTTTCATAGAAGAAGACGATGATGACTCAACTTCTCAACTTCATTACCGATCAAGGCATTCGCGATCAAGTGTATTTGATAATCTTTGCTGGTCAAGATTCATCTGCGCACACAGTGGCCATGATCATTCTAATGCTCGTGCTGCCTACGAAAATTGAGCAACGTGTCATAGCCGAAATCAATGAGGTGTTCGGTGCTGAGCCACAAGATTGCGATATCAAAATGGAACAAATTAATCGGTCAAGCTATTTGGAGCAAGTTATAAAGAAAACACTGCGAATGCATCCAGCGGCGCCTTTTTTAATTCGGCATTGCACCGAAGATACAGAACTGATTAATGGGGTGATACCAACCGACACGGAAGTCATTGTCTCGGCCATTACCGGCTATTATCGTCAGTCATTGTCTCGGCTATTATCGACGCAAAGATGTCTGGGGCGAAGATGCCGATGAATTTAATCCAGATCATTTCGGTCGAGAAGCCAACTCAACACGAAACCCATTCGCATTTGTGGCGTTCAGTAACGGTCCGTGAAATTGAATTGGACAACGATTTGCATTTATCTCGTTGAAGACAATTTTGACCAAATTGCTTCGGAAATTTTGATTTTCGACACACATGAAAATGGAAGATTTGAAATTTCGATTGGAAGTGTCAAGCAAACCAATTCATGGTGTTATTGTTCAAGTTGTAAATTCAAATATCGGTTTTTGGTTGTAAATAAATATCCAAATTTTATTTCACGTGTTGTCTAATGAACATCCAATCCAGAACATTAACTAACTCTCTGACCTTTGACACTCAAGTTGGCCACAGTGTTGCAAAATTGATACAGTTATTGTTGAAGCCAATGAACGGAATTAAAATTATAGGCTGTTGTGAAAGAAGAGTTTGATTCGATTATTATGATTCATCTTTTGAAACAATAAATGCTTCACAAATCTCGAACATTTTTTTCTTGTTCATTGAATATAAATAGCTGCTGCCGTTCGAACGGAAATCTTTTCATATTTATTCACGTTTTTTATGGCATTGAAATCTTGTCAACACACACACACACACACACACACACACACACACACATATATTTCATTCGGTGTCGTGAAGAGTATGTTTTCGATATAACACCTTTCTCTTTCTTGTTTTGTCGCCCGTCTGTTCGGTATACATGCAATTTCTCCAACCAGTTTTATGCATTCAGTATATCAGTACCATATCGGCCACTCAACATACCAACTTGACGAGGCATTTTATTCATTTCGAACTCTTTTGTTTGCTGCTTGAGATTTTTGCTGTGGACACAATGTGTGCAGTATTGTGGTAGTTTATTCTAATTTTGAAATTCCACTCTCGGCAAACATGGAAACGAGAATGCAATAAACATTTTAAAGTGCAAAATATATGGTAGTTAATCATACTGTGTGTGTATATTTTTTTACGAGACGCCACTTAAAAGATAACACAAAAACTATACAATGTTTGTGTCGCATTCTAAACATTCCTTTTATTTCATTCAATTCATTTGAACTATATGCTACCGAACACCGGCAAAAATAAAATCCGGTACACAACATTGTGCTACTATTGAACACATTAAATGAAAGAGCTTCTACACAAATTCAGCTTATCACACATTCATCCAAATGTCAAGTTTTCATATGCATTCGGAGGTTTTTATTACTCTCTTGTTTGTATCGGTGTTGTCAATCTGCCGTTTGTATGTGCGCGCCGCCGTCTGTATGCCGACGAAAACTGTTTTGACTGAGATAAAATGCAACGTAAATAAAACAAGCCGGTTAAAAAGAAACATTTATTGAGCGAACGAGAAATGACAGTACAGCAACGGAGATCGAGTCTGGCAAACACACACACAGTTATCTGATGTATATAATTTCACACGAGTTTGTTACACAAATGATGTATCGGCTACAGGGTGTGAATCATCATTGGGCAGTTGGTAAACTGCTAACAAACACAATTGGCAAATGAAAAACAAAAATAAAACCAGGCAAACCTTATGTGTTACCCGTTGTTTTGTTACGTGTCCAATGTCATCGGAAGCTTTCTATATTATCACATTTCACTCGCATTCTCCGGCCATGCATTGCAAGCCGGAGTTTTAGTTAGGGTTTTTAAAATCCTATACTATTCATGAGCTGAACTAAATATCAGATGATCAAAAAAATTTCGAAAACAAAAATCAATCCTATTGACCGTGTGATCTTTTTTTTCTACCAGGTGATAATCTGTATAGTGCAATAAAAATCGACACGTAGGTATATATCATCAGCGTGTTTGTTTTTCGTAAAATTCACACACTCCACAAAGCCATAAAAACCGAGTGGAACTTCAGTCATTCAAAAACCCTCAAGCGAAGCGGCGGCACAGAAGCACAAAACAAAAACTAGTTTACTGCAAAATAGTAAACCAGTCGGTGCGAGAAAGAGAGGGAGAGAAAAATAGAAGGAGGAACAGATAGAGCAAGACAAAGAGGAAAACAAAAAGAGGGAGACGGAAAAATGCCGTAAGTTCATTATTATTGTTATCATTCAAGTGGAATTAGCTGTTAATGTTCAAAGCATTGTTGTTTTATTCTAGGCATCGAACGTCGCAATCAACCGTTTGGTGCTGCATGTTGTTCTTTCATTTGTCCAATGTGTTGGCGCGTAATCAATCGGTGATTTTTGTGAATATTTCGACTGTTGGTTATCCGTTGAAGTTGGTGTATCAAACGTGGGTGGGGCCTGATTTGAATGTACAAGGTGAATGGAAGAGATTCGATGGTACGTTCAATTGCCGCGAACAAGATGCAACGGATGCAATAATCATTGAATCAAGCGATCCACAAATGCCGGCGCATTTTTTCGATCGATATCCAGGCATCGAAAGCATTAAAATGACCCAAAAATACTTGAAATCAATTGCGTCGGCCGATTTTCTGAATGCAAATTCACTACTTCGTTTGAATGTGTCACACAATGAGATCGACAACATTGCGCCGTTCGCATTCGATGCTGCACCAAAACTGGCATCAATAGATTTGTCATTTAATTTGCTGCAAAATTTAAATGAAAACATTTTCACGTCTTATTCGATCAAATATTTGTATTTACACAACAATCAATTAACCGTAGTCCAGCCACAATGGTTTGAGAAGCTGTTGTATTTGCGCGTTTTGACATTAAACAACAACCGAATTCGGGCAATTGACTGGCAACTTTTCGATTCGATGCCCAACATCAATGTGCTGCATTTGCATGCAAACCAAATAGCCGATGTGCGTAGTGGTGCACAGCAACAGCCCGAACCACCAAGGTCAATGCAAACATTTTCAATGTACGATAATCCAGTTGTCGCAGCGCATCACTTGATGCGGCTGAATGGTGTGGCAGCGGTTGATGTACGAAATACGGGCGTCCAAATCTGTCAACTCAGCCAACGTATGCACACATTGATTGCAGCAAACAATGAAATTCGCGAAATCAATTTGGATAATTTGAGTGAACCACATGAAAATACACTTGTCACATTGCATTTGGCCAACAATCGCATGGAATCCATGGCAAATGTAACACATTTTCATCGTTTGCAATATCTGAATTTATCGTACAATCTGCTCGCTCACATTGACGCACACATTTTTGACACGCTCAACAACTTACAGCTGCTGGATTTGAGCCACAATAAACTGATGCGATTCGATGTACCAAACAATCGAATGCCAAGTCTGAATGCACTGGATGTGTCGTTCAATGAAATATTAAGAGTGGAGTTGGATGGCATCGTGTCTCAACTTGAAACTCTTAACATTGATGGCAATCGAATTAAGGCTACCACCTATTCGATGCAAGCGATGAAGACGGGAAGCAATGTCAATCACAAATCCGAATGTTTATCCGATTCGATTGGGTGCCCGTCGGGCGATGAACATAGCGATGAGCACAAGCACCATTGCACCATTCGTAACTATGACGAGAAACGCCCGAAAATCAACGACGACATACGCGATTTTATTTATGAACAATTTCACATTATGGAACAGAATATTTTGCAATTAATCGACGCTAAGTTCACAGATATCAACCGACGAATACGACGACTCGACCAAGAAATGATTGCCATCACATCAGGCAGGCCCGATTATTACTGGGATTAGAAATTGAACTAAAAATTCGATGCATTTCATGCAGTGATTTTTGCTTTGGATAAAAGCAATTAGTAAACTAGAAAAAATGAACACTTTTTATGTGGGAAAAATATGAATGAATAAACAAAAACGCTGATTTTGTTGTACGATTGTTTTCTATTTTAATCGTTTTTTTTTAATTCAATACGTATCTATAGGTTTTTGTGTCATTTCCATTTTGCTTTTGGTGTTTTGTGTGTTTTCACTAAATTTGATATGTGATGTTGTTCACTCCATGATATTATTAACATGAATGAAACCCATTTCACTATATTGATGCGTAGCACCATACAGAGTCTCTAATAGAGACTCTCTATATTAGACACCAAATCCAATATTTTGAATCAATGCTAAGACCATTTCATTGTAAATTCTCTCACAAGAAAATGAGAAAGCCAAAACGTTTGTATGAATGAAGCGATACAGTTATGGTTACTTTTGCTCTGTATAATGTGGTTTTCACTTCACAATACATACTCTTCAACAAGGCATTGTTTTGAGTCTTATCTAAAAATTTCACGGAATATTTGAAAAGTTGAACGCAGCTTGAAGTACGAATTCCTTTGTTCGGTTTATAGCTGCACAGTTAATAATATATTATTAATGATTATTAATACTATATTATTAACTAGGCGGTATTAACAACTGATACGTTATTAACATCGCCTGTTAATATCGCTATTACTTACTAGTTAATAGTATTAACTTAATACCGGTATTATCATACTAATATATTATTAACATGCGATGTTAATACCGATAGTATGATCATACAAGGTCGCTTTCTTTGTATACAAATACATGGGTAAGATTTGACGTGAGACGCCAAGACGCCTCTACGCGTGAAATGCTCGAAGCTTTCATCGTACACATATTGAACACAAACATTGTCGTTTACACAATGCATTCACACAAATTAACGCATCGATAGTGCCCGCTCAATATATGTACGATGACTGTTTTGAATGTCCCTCGCCCAGAGGGCTGCGTGTCGTTTTTCTTCGTCTATTAAGCGATCTTGGATCATACTATATTATTACGATTTTACTTTTCCGTACACAACGTGTCAAGGGAAAGTATAGGAATTGGTCCCGAAAACTTTTTTCGCAAAATTAGCTTAGATCATCATAAAAACTCATGAAACGCGTAGAAAACCACTTTTTGAGACACTTTTCCGTTCGTGTGCCGTCGTTGTCGTTGTCGTTGTCGTTATCGTTGGTGTTTGTTAACACGATAACTCAAAAAATAATGGAGATAATCAAAATCTGAAAGTCCCAAAAGTTTTGTATCCGAAAAACTTAGTTTAAGTTCGAAGATGAGCCATTTTCGATTTGATCCTGGGGTACTTGCCCTAAGAAAAACCTCAAAAAATTGACACTTTTTTATGGGAGGTATACGTAAATCGAATCCGATTGGCTTCAAACTTTCTGGGATTTCATGTTTTGGGAGAAAATTAAGATTCTGAAATTTTGAAACCAATCGAGATCGATTTACGGGTACCTCCCATACAAACTTTTTGAAGTTTTGACTAAAATTACCGATTTCTGGACAATTTTGTATGGGAGGTACCCGTTAATCGATTCTCATTGGCTTCAAACTTTCTGAGGTTTCATTTTTTGGAGAAAAAATAAGATTCTGAAAGTTTCATGTTGATCGCATTTGCAGAAGTTTGATTTTTTGTCCTCAATTTTTGTCGAAATTTTCTTTTTCTCCAAAAAATGAAACCTCAGAAAGTTTGAAGCCAATAGGAATCGGTTTACGGGTACCTCTCATACAAAATCGTCGAAGTTTTAGTTAAAGTGACCGATTTTTCACTTTATTTTTATTATTATATTTTCTCTGCCTTTATTTCAAGAAAATTCACAAAAAATAACCAAAATTACCTACAGACAACGCAGGCCAACGGTACGGAAAAGTTTGGGATTACCAATGTAATTCTTTTTATTCATGATAATATTTCATTAACATCCATGTTAATATTTATTAACATCGCTGTTAATAATATGATAACTGGAAGGCTAATTTCGCAACCGTATGAATTCGATGCGCATCGAACTGAACTCCCACCCGCTTTACAAAATTAATCGTTATGAACTTGATAATTTGTTATGAGAAAAAGGGCAATAACTTCGGGCTTTCGGAGCAGAATACAATTACATTTAATATTCGATTTGATTATATCCGGACCAAAATGCAAAATGCCATTGTTTGAACTTGACTTTCAGCTAAATAAATAAGTAAATGGAGCAAGAACAGACATATAGGTTAACATCAACTCAAAGACTGGGTATGTAATGGCTGTGGGCATCCATCCAAATCGTATGGAAGTGTTTGTAAACACGTTTTATTTATTCAAGCATTTGATAAAACAACCGAATTTGGTTTCGAAAAACGAGGTGCACGTTTATAAAGAGTTTATTGCATGTTTCAATGACTCGAATTATGCAACTACTGTTATTTTCTGTATGAATTCCAAAGTGTATTGAATGTACGAGAAATTTTATTCGAAAATTAACTTCTCTTCAGTTCGAAAAGCATTTCATTTTGGATATTTTATACATTTGCAGCGTCAAGACGAATCTTAGCGAGATAATAAATTTACGCAAAAATGAAAACCTTCAGCATGCCGCCAAGCATGAGTTTAACTCTTAACATCAGATCTCGCTCTTCAGCAACATGAAAGAGATACTCCTTGATTATACTCCTCTTTTACTACTCTCGATTGTTTTTTTCTTCTCCCATCTACTCAGAAACTCATGCAATGCCAAATGTACATTTTCAATCTCTTTCGCGGAGGCGCGCGCGTTTATTTGCACAAAACGAAGTCGTTGTATAAAGTGCGATGATAATGGCAAATACACATAAATCTTAAATTTGCTCTTCACTCCGTTTTGTATTTGTAGACAACCAAACATTTTGTTCACTTTCTCCGTTGTTCCTGTTTTCCTTCGCTGTTTTTTTTGTTGCTTTTGTTGTATTTTTGCTGTTTCTTCTTGGCATGGCATTTGTCTTTCGTATTTTGTGCTGTCTGCAACACAAATAACTTAAAAGTGTATTGTCTGCGCCAAATCTCACACATGAATCAGTAAAAGCACTTCATTCAACTTTCGGCTTCGGCACAATTGTGTGTGTGTGCACTTGGAAAAATGAGCAGAAGAATGAAAACACAATTTTCAACAAACGAAATGCTCCACGCCAGGTTCAATGAATAACGTGCTATAGAGCGAGAGAGAGAGAGAGAGAGAGAGAGAGAGAGAGAGAGAGAGAGCGAAAGAAGACACTAACGCGTGAAACAATTATTTCAGCGAAAAATTATTTTCAGTCCATTATAAATGTCTTGTGATAAGAGAAACAATTCACACGGGCAAATAAATGGAGAAAAAACAGAAATAAAAGTGTTTTTCTATTTTCGTCGTTTTACTTTTGTTCAGTTGTATTGGTCTTTTTTCTCGCGTGCATGAAAACGGGGATGGAGAAATATGAGTGAAGACATTAAGACTTGGCACATATCCGATTTGTGGCAGAACCAGGTTCATGACACTTTCAGTTCGGATACTTTGCCAAACACTTACCATCCATTCGACTTGATTTCTATTTTACAATTGTTCGCCATTTCTCATTTAATGATTTGAATTGTGGCTTTTATGGTGGTCATTTGGTTGAGTGCGATATACTTCGCTTTCATATCTGACTGACCATTATAATTAATGGCTTCGGTCGATAGCTAGAAGAAACAACCCATAGACTGTTAAATGTGCATTGCAAATTAAGACGCGCGGTAACCACTTCGAACGTCATAAAGCACAGACACTTTTTTCTAACCAAATAAATAATGTCATATTTTAATTGTGTATTTTCATGGAAAAAAAGGGAATTATAAAGCATTTTACTTCAATTTATTGGAAATCTTTTAATAGCAAGCATAATTTTTCTTTCTCCATTGAGAGATCTTGTGACTGTTGCCAACTTTTATTGAAATGATTTGACAAAATAAAATTGTTACGCGTTTTTTTTCCTTTTTAGCATCACAAGAAATGTAGTTGTTCGATTCCCATAGGTCCCTCATTCACGATAGATGCACTCATGTTTCACCATGATCAAACGAATTTTCACCATTTGCCTTTTGCCAATAGCTATCAATTAACTATAGTTAAGGTTCATTTTGAATAAAACAAATCGGCGATTGTGTTCTTTTTATTTTCCCGAAATGATTGACCAATGAAATTTGATAGTAACAATTGCTATTTTGTGATTTAAAACTAGTTGAAAACTGGTATGCATAAAAAAAAAAATTTAGAAGGAATACACAGAATTAAGGCAATGCACTGAAAATAGTGTGCTATACTATCAATATGTTCATAATAGTATCCTTATGCAAAAAAAGCGAGTATATTCATACATGCAAGATGTTCATTTATGACATATCCATTTATTTCAGCTATCTACACCGGTTGAGCCGTGCTGTGGCTGCGAGCGATTCCGTGCGCGAAAAATGAGTATGCAATGTTCAGGTGCAGCAGCGTACAGATCGAGCATATTCATTCTTCCGTTGTGTTGTTGGAGTCGTAGTAGAAAAGTCGAGAAAGAGAGAAAAAAAAATGGAGAAAAAAATGGGATAATTATCATATTTTTCGTAGAGTACGTGCTGCATGTTAAGTTTGACGCTTTAAGCAAAAATCGAAGTGAAAACAGGGGAAATCGTTTTATATGTTCCGCAGCCAATTCAATGCATTATTTATGCAACGGGAGAACATGCCTTGTCGAAAAAAGTGTTGCTTAAAATTAGAATCGCTTTAAATATGAGACGACGATAGACTGAAAATACCATCATAATATATGCACATGCACATGGAATCCCGTTCGCCGGGTATGTATGCACCGTTATTCCGAAAGTAATATGTGGAAGTGCCAAGTATTTATTTATATCACGGTAGCGAGAGCCCGTGCGAGTAGAAGAGATGCGTTCGATGAATATGAAATTCGTTTGACGTTCGTTGTTGCAGCAGCACATTGAAATGCTGTCGGAAAATGTTCAATTTGGTTTTGGTCTTCATTTTTATTTTCTTTGAGCGTCTACTGGAGCGTTCGATTCATAAGTACTCTCTGTCTGGTTATAATGA